ATAGACATCTTTGGTAACGTAAAAAAGGCATTCCAGCTGCTCCATAATAAAGATGTAACTTGTGTGTTACAAATAAAAAAGGAGATGGCCTCCTGGAACTCACTTGATCTTGTTTGGCTTGAAAAGTTATACAAGAACCTGAACCTGGTTTGAAAGTTTGCTTATATAAAGTCGGAACATTCAAACAAAATCCTATTAATAGTAGTATCCTTTAGAAAAGAACCTCCGTTTATTTAATTTCAAAAAAAAAAATCAATACCTGAAAAAAGCTGTAAATATATAACATATCACATTATTAAGATTTTGACATTAAAAAAACACACGTTTTTGTTATTTATTGATCAATATTGTAGAAATATTCTAGTTTTTTTATTAATAATTATGACAATCATTAATTAATTACGTTTTCATAGATAAAGTACTTTACTCATTATTATTATAAAGTTGTTAATTGGTGATGATTAAATTTTTGGGCCCTGAAATCCTTGGTAGTATGAATATGAATGTGTTTTGTTGCAGTATGCTCCAATTATTATCATTATACAGTCAAAGCTCGTTGCAGCGAGCTTTTTTTGTTTCTCCGAATTTTTTTTTATAACACATGGAAAAAAAAATTACATACGAGTATTTATTTGGCCCAAATTCCAGGATTTGGGTCTAAACAGAAAATTCTCTGGTTCTACTATGTTCCTTTACTTTTTTTTCAAATATCAAAGTATAGTGAGTGGATATGGTTTCTAAGCTAAAGGGTCATGGTGATGAATGCAAAATTGACTTTTGGGCGACATTCTATTGAACAGGCAAAAAATTTCAATTTTAGATTGTGGGGTCTTGGTACCCGATTTTTGATAGAAAACCCCACATAATAAACTCAAAAATGATAAATGCTAATTAAAACAACAGCATTATTATTTTTCAATAAACAATATGACAAGCAATTTACCTGAACAGGATTCATATATTGGTATTATTAAAATTATATTATATTTTATATTATTATTATTATTATTTATAAAAAAATTTTTTTTTCTCCAATAGATTATAAAACATTTTTATCAAACAATTTTGACCCAAAGGAATATGCAAATTCTACAATAAATAATAGTTCAACCAATGGAGATGGAGATGGAGATATTGCTATCGCTCTTGCTAAATTATCTTTTAGCATAGAAAGTTTGAATAAACAAATACATGATAAGGTTTTTATTAAAACTCTTTTTCTGGAATGAAAAAAAAGAGATCAAAAATTTTATTTAATAATAAAATTTTTTTTTAGGTCGTTGCAAATTATGAAGATTTAATATCATTAGCATTTGGAATTAAAGATTTAGAAAATGTTTTAGGTACATTAAAAAATGGAATACAATCTCTCAATACTTCATTGGATAGGTAGTATGTGTAAATTAATTATGTTTTTATTATATTTATTGATCTATTTAGAATTCTAAATTATTTTTTAATAAATAGTTTAAAGACAAGAGTTTATACACCTTATTCCCAAATGAAAAATTTCATTATACAATTGGAAAGATTACAAGCAGCTTCTGATTTATTGAGACAAGTTGTTAGATTTTTGTCTTTGGTAAGATGTATAGAGAATCAATTATCTGAAATTGACAATGATGATAATAATAGTGAAGATAATAATAGAGATAAGTCAGCTCATTATTTAGAGCTTGCAACAAACCTAAGTGAATTAGGTAAGTTAATTACATGATTATAACTATCATTATTAATAACTAATACTTTTATTTTTATTTGGTTGGTGAAAATTAGAAACATTGTTGCAAGAAGTAAATTTTGATGGGATAAATTGTGTTCAGACAAATTTATATATAATCCAAAAAGCAAGAATAAAAATAAAACATGGAGCTCTACAATCATTAGAAAAGAAAAGTATCCAATAATTTATATATCATTTACAATAGTTTATTTAATTTAATCACCCAATGTATGTAATCATAGAATATTCTAGGTTTAAACAATTATGTTAATCCAAAGATTATACATAATAGGTTGGTACATATATTTGGATTTAATTAGGAAACCTTAAAAATTTTAAAAAAATAGCATTAGATTTTATTATTATTTTTTTTTAATTTTATAGAAGTCATGAAATAAAAAAAGTTAATAACGTCAATTAATCGCTCGCGATATAACAAAGTCAGGGATTATATGTATGATAAATTTCTAACTGTTCGTCATTCATAGACAATAAATAAATTTTGAATTAATATATAAATATAAAACTGTCTGTATATATTCTTTTTGAAATATATTAATAATTTGAAATAAATGCATTTGTGATAAAGAAATTCAACGATTCAAACAGTCTTTGATACCTAATACCAGGCCGACTCAGTCCGCGGTCAATTTCAGTCTGGACCGGGCATTAATATCCCCCCTACTCGGCGAATTATAATCATCGCTACGGATTGCAACTGATGATCATGTGACAATGATCGGGACTTCACGAAATTTCTCGGTCTAGAGGGTTCAATATAGAGAGTGCTTTGACTGTACGTTTTTGATTGCAATAAAATATTTAAAAATCAAACAAAAAAAAAACACGAAAAAAAATTTACATAAAAAAAAAGTTTTTGTGCAATTAATTAATTTGGGGTGACCGAAACTTTTGGGTAAGTAGTGTTATATGTGTGGAGCAAGCTTCTTTTACTAGCTATTTCATATGATTTCATTAAAGAAACTTTTTTTATCACACAAACTCAATAGATATAAAGATTAAATTCCATTCTATATTAGATTTTTTTAATTTACAAAAAAATAATAATAATCGTAATAATAATGATGATGATAATAATCGTGTTCATCACAATATAAATATAATTTTAAAATAAAATAAATTTATTTCCAAAGTTTTCTTAAACTTTCATTCTGTTCTTCACCCTTCTTCATTACTTTGGCTACCGCCATTTCAAAATCTTCCTGCGTGACATGAACACGTCGTTCACGAAGTGCATACATACCTGCTTCTGTGCAAACAGCCTATGAAAATTTGAATAATCAAATAAGGACTAATGGTAACAATAACAAAAAATTATCAAATTATTTATAATTGATGAGGTTGGTTAATTACCTTTACTTCAGCTCCACTAGAACCTGTCATTTTTTCTGCTATTTTACGTAAGTTAATTCCTCGTGTAAGATTCATTTTACGTGAATGAATTTTTAAAATATCAGCACGGGCCTATATAAATATTATTCTTTAATTAAACGTATATATTATATTGTTATTTATAAAAATTGAATGATGAAAACAACAATCTCATACAGCTTCAGAAGGTGGTGGAAACTCGATTTTTCTGTCAATTCTACCAGGTCTTAGTAGTGCAGGATCGAGTATATCGATACGATTTGTTGCCATGATAACCTAGTAAAAATGAGTTTGTTTATAATTTAAAAATATATATAACCGTTTTCTCATATAAAACACACATTACCTTGATGTTTTTTGTAGGTTCGAATCCATCTAATTGATTAAGCAATTCTAACATTGTTCTTTGCACTTCAGAATCACCACCTCCAGATCCCGATTCAATACGTGATGATCCAATTGAATCTATTTCATCCATGAAAATAATGGATGGTGCATGTTCTCTTTTGTAAATTCATATTTAAAAAAATTTTTGTTAAATTTTTTTAAAATGGTTATGATCATCCATCATATTGAGATTAAATTATATATTATATACCTTGCCATAACAAATAATTCTCTGACCATTCTACTTCCTTCTCCAATATATTTTTGTACCAACTCTGAACCTGATACACGAATAAATTTACAATCTGTATGATGAGCAACTGCACGGGCCAAAAGAGTTTTACCAGTTCCAGGAGGACCATATAACAATACACCCTAAATTTAATACATATATTAAATCATTACCTTTAATGGATAATTTTAAATGATATTTTATAAATACCTTTGGTTGTGCAATTCCCAAACTTTCAAATAATTCGGGGTGTTTTACTGGTAATTCTATTACTTCTTTGATTTCTTTGATTTGTTTATCTAATCCACCAACCATCTCATATGTTGAATCGGGGACCTTTTCTACCATCATCAATGATACTAATGGATCAACTTTATTGGGCAGAATCTTGTGAAGTGTGTACGAATCATTACGAAGAGCTACTCGACAAGTTGGTGTTATCTGTGAAATATCAATATCTGGTGCAATATCAACAACATATTTTCCTTCCGGATGTACCTATTATATTAAATCATACAAGTTTATGAAAGCCATACCCATACAGTCATTATTCCACAAAAGAAATTCATTTCCAAACTTTCTTTTTATCATTATCATTAAAATATATAAATATATGTTTTATAAAATACATACTTTAACCAAAACTTTTTTTTTACCCATTAATTTCACAACTTCACCAACATATGAACCAGGTTCTTGCAAGAGTTGTAATTCTTCTCTTAACAAACGGACTTTTTTAGATCAATCAAGAAAATGATGAAAGTCGAAAATATTAATTTTCTATAAATATGTTTTCTTATATATTTTATTATAAAATAATTTGGCACTAGACGGATGAATTTACGGATGGATGGATGGATTGATGGACATTAAAACCATACCTTTAGCATTCAATGCATTTCTTTGAGCTTCTAAACGTCTTAAATTTTGTGTTTTTTCATTTATAATTAATTCCGCTTCCTCAATTTTAGTCTGATAATAATTTTTTATACCTTCTCTGCTCATATCAAAAATTTTATATGTGCAAACTAATATATAATTAATTCTTTTATTTGAATATGAATGTTGTTATGAATTCTTTAAAAAAAAAAAAAATTTTCCCTTTCGATGATTAAATTTTTTTTAGTGTGATAATGATGACGCATTTGATAATGACAAATTTGGATTTGATTTTCATTACATTTCAAAGAAAAATTATAATTTATTCAACTGATCGATTCGTTTATTCTCTTAAAAATTACTACTAACACAACAATAATAACCTAAATGGCTGAATACAAAGGCGGGGCCTCCGAAGGCCAACGTCAAGCAATGTTAGAGAAACAAAGAGCAAAGATGTTGAATGATTTTGAGAAACAACGTGAAAAAATTACAAAAGTGAGCAAGCAAACTATTGCTTTCCTTATCCTTCATCATATTAATTTATTTCTAATTTTTTAATTATGAACATTGAAAAAAACAAAAAATAATAACAGTTATCTCCATATATATGATTAAAAAAAAAAAAAATCAAAACGGTGAAATAATACTTTTTAACTTTAAAAAAAAAAAGGATAACCAAGTTAATATAACGAGCAACAAATTCGTGACCCAGTTCGATGATGTTGAAGATTCCTTGAAAAAAGAAACTATAGGCCTAGTTAAACTTGAAGATTTCCAAAAAATTCGGAAAGAAATTCTAATACAAAAAGAACGCGAAGCTGCTAGAACTGCTGAAATAAGGTATTTTATTTATATATATATATATATAAACCAGTGCTGTCTTCCGATTGCTTCAACGACTTCTCATTATTTAATATATTTTTGGGGTGTTTTAGGGATGATATTACAAAAAAGAAAAGAAAGAAAAAAGAAAAGGCTAAATTATCATTTGATTTGGATGATGGGGATGAATTTCAGGAAGACAGTGTTGATAATTTTGAAAATCCTAATTACTCGAATAATTCAACAAAATCTGAGGATAACAATACAACGTCAGATTATAACAATGAAGGTAAATGATCAATTATTCTCTTTTTTCTCAAGAATTTATTTACTATTTATTCAAAACTAAGTTTCATTTTTGTGAATATTAATCGACAAAAAGACTTTAAACTCACAAAAAAGAAACCAAAACTTGGTAAAAATCCCAATGTTGATACATCCTTCTTGCCAGATCGAGAAAGAGAAGAAGAGGAGAGAAAAGAAAGAGAAAAGTTACGCTTAGAATGGTTAAAAAAGCAGGAAGAAATAAAAAGTTTGTAATGTTTATTATTTCTTAGGTGTAGTCTGTACCAATTATCATAATATTGATAATATTTATACTAATTATTATTGTTAGATGATAAAATCAACATCACTTATTCATATTGGGATGGAACTGGTCATCGAAAAACCGTTACATGTAAAAAAGGTGACTCGATCTCAGCATTCCTAGAAAAATGTAGGCAACAATTTCATGAGTTACGTGGTGTTAGTGTTGATAATTTACTATATGTTAAAGAGGACTTGATTATTCCACATGTAAGTCACATTCTTTTATTTCTCAATAATAGATATTTATCTATTAATGCTTATTATATATGTGTTTATTATGTATATACAGCATTATACATTTTATGATTTTATTGTTAATAAAGCAAGAGGTAAATCTGGTCCCTTGTTTAATTTTGATGTACATGATGATGTTAGATTAACTCATGATGCAACTGTTGAAAAAGATGAGGTAAAAAAATTTTTTTTAATTAATAAAAAGTAACTTTTTTCACATCTAATAATGATTTTAATTCAATAGTCACATGCAGGCAAGGTAGTTGAAAGAAACTGGTATGAAAAAAATAAGCATATTTTCCCGGCAAGTAGATGGGAAATTTACGATCCTGAAAAAAATGTATGTAAATTTTTTTTTATAATATTAAAATATGGTAACGTAATGTAATACATTATATTATCATAATAATAACTAATCAATTTGATTTTATTTTATTTAAAAAAAAAATAGTATGGAAAATATACTATCAAATAATTATATTGAAAAGTTTTACAAGTTAGACATACATAATAGAATGATATAAAATAATTATTTCAACTATATAAGAAATTAAGAAATTAAGAAATTAATATCAACTTAATCTATTAATAATAAATTTATTTAATTATTGAACAATATTTAATTCTTTAAATATGCCAAAAAAATGAACTTCATGTATGGGCTCAGATGATATTTCATCATTAGGTAGTTTGCCATAATCGTCCTTAATGAATGATCTAAATTCACGCACATGAAATTAAAATTAGTCAATCAGAATTTTGTAAAAATCTTTTAATTATAAAGTTTCAAACTTCACAACATATAAAATAAAATAAAATTTCCAAGAAACCCAGCGTTCACTGTATCTATAAGTTTTGGAACATTAATCGATTCTGTTGTTTCTGTTGCTTCTTTTTCTGTAAGTAAATAAATAATATTACAATGGTGAGCATCTTTTTTTTTACTAGTGATAGAAATTCAAGATCAAAATATTCTAGTTGATATTATGTAATAATACCACTATTAATAATAAAAAATTATTAAAGGGTATGTATATAAAAATTAAAAATTTTTCTTTCCAAAAAAAAGGGATCTATGATAAATGATCAGAAAGAATTGTTACGCGGCCATCATCTTTTTTTTTTTATTGTCTTGAAACCACGTTTATTTATCTAAAATTTAATGCATCATCAAATATTTACAATTTAACGCGACCATTATTATTATTAAAAATTTATTAAAAATTAAAAATTAGTGTGATGATCGACTTTAGTCGCGTTAACTGATCACAATATTAATATTAACATTCTAAAGTTCCTTTAATAATCATAATTATAAACATTTCTTGTACCATATGGAAGAAAAAGTTTATATCCTTTATTCTTTTTCACGAAAGATGCTAGTTGATTCAAGGTAATCATAATGCTACAACTTTCACCAACTTATATTCAACTCTTGACATGAGATCAACTAATTAGTTTTTCGTCCAAGTTGCTTTAAAATCATTCACACACTTTATATAAAGATTTTTAGATTAGATGGTTAGACTGGACGTTATCTTTGTTATTTTTTTGGAGGAGCCTATAGTTAGGTCTCTCTAGCTACAGAATTATTCAAAGAGGTTACCCAAAAAAAAATTGAAATTGTGCCACAACCGCTATACTGGACAAATTAGTATTAACATATTTTTTCGAATGAATGAATAGCCTGTGGAATGGACAAGTTATGTTTCTGTTCAAATCTTTAAGTAAGAGTCATTAGATAGATTTAATAGTAAAAGAAAGAATTGATGAATTTCCACTACAAATTATCCATTATATGTACAATATTTGGAATGATAATGTTTTACAGTTTTTTAATCCTTGTTAAACGGTGATATTTCAGTTAACGCCTATTATTTAACATGTATAGTATGTTTTTTGGGCTATCTACTCTTGACAGTTAATTCACAATAATTCAGTACTCGTCAATTAATAAGCTTATGAATTTATTTGCTTTGGTTCTCGATTACTGTCTCTTTCTTGTACCTGGGAAGCTTTGGCGAATCTGTAAGCATATTTAATGGTACCAGGTAACTAACTATAAAGGCTTCTATAAAGTTCCTTTATTTACTTATGGCGATTTATTTCATTCGTTTATCTTTTTTTATATTACTTGGCCGATTTCAAAATCGCTTTCAAAACAACTTGAGCAGTTTGTTTAACGATGAATACATACTAAAGTATCATTTATTAGTATTAGATGTTACGCAATCCCGATTGTGTCATTTCGGGTTATATCATAATAATTTTTTATCATAATCTGGTTCATTAAAGGTACTCTGAAGCAAATACTGGTGACAATTATTGGATGGTAAAGGAATTTAAAACGGTGTTAGCAGATTATTAATACTAATGTTTGCTTATCACATTCAAAATCGTCACGAAAACTACATTCATAACTATAATATACAATTGTGACTTTGTTTGATGTTATAAATGGAAATACATTTATAAATAAATGACTAGTTATTTATATATAATAGAAAGCAGAAATGATAATAATATAAATAACATTAAAAAAAAAGTAATGCTCAAATAATCAATTATATCTATATATTTTGTAAAATAAAATGCTAATATTTATATTATGGTAGTTCCACTACTACTGGTGCATACTCCCCTTCCTCGGTATACTCTTCATAATTTTCATACTCAATCCCACCCTCGTTTTTATATTTAACTATGTCCCAATTAAATTTTTTATTAACAAATTCTCTAAATTTTTCCAAACGTCTTTTTAATGCATGGAGTTTTTTTGGCCTTTGTAATGAATTTAATTCCATGGTATTTGCTATATCAATAATGTTAGAATGCAATGTCTAATTATTATACATATATGATTTTTTTAAAAAAAAATAATTAAGAAATTAATGATGGTTATTAAGTTTTTTAAAAAAATAAAAATTTAATATTTAAAGAAAATTTATTAAAACCTTAATAGCGTGAATTAAAAAATTGTTTTCATATGTCAAATCTTCAAAAAAATCATTTGGACATTCTTCAAGTTGAAATTGAATTACATCTAATTTGTCCCAAAAACAAATAAATTAAAAGTATTAGCTATTGGTAATATATATACTTGTATTTATATATTCATTTATTACCAAAAAATTCATTATAAAATGTTTCGGCATAAGTTTCAAGTGCCTCCTTGGATGAACAAATCAATTGTACAATGTTTTTCCATTGAATAAGTCCTGCATAATTTTGTGCCATAAGTAGACAAACAAAAGAAAGTTGAAGTTCTCCCAAAAGTTCTTTATAATCTTTTAAACATACATACATACACACACACACACACACATATATAAACGTATATATTAATGTTTAGTCATTTATAATTAAAAAAGATCAATAATAGTTATATCTCACCATTATTATAAACTTTTTGTAAAAGGTTAATTAACAACCAACTTTTATCCTGACTATATTTAGTCACTTCCATTCCAACTGCACCAGGCCTCCAACTTCTTTTAAAATCTATTTTTGTAAATAATATTTTATCATTTTCTTTTTCAAATCGTGAAATATTATCAATTTGCTGTAATTCTTCTTCGTCGACAGTTGATGATGCAGTATTAGTGACTCTCCCTTTATTTGCCAGTATCATAGAAATAAGTCGAGGTGTGATATAGTTTGTTAAATTTCTCCATTTTTGCCAATTTGTTGGCGGCACAAGAGGATATGCTCCTAAATACTCATCAAATTGTCGCATATCTAATATTTAATAATAATATTGATCGGTTGGTCGGTTGATCGGTTGATTGATTGATTGATTGATCGATCAGTCAAATTATTAATTAATTGGCTAATTAATTTGTTAACCAGATAAATCACCTGATTTTAATCTTTCATTTTGATCGTTATCAAGTTCATCTTCAAATTTAATGTCTTCTATGATATAATCCCATTCTACAATAAAAACCTATCAATTAATTATTAAATCCAATCAAATTATTTAAAAATATAATTGGAATGTTAATTGTTCTCATAAATTAAAACAATTTGCAAATATCTACCTCTTTATATTCATAAAATTTAAAAAACCCAGATCTTAATCCAGAACTTCCTGACTTGTCAGATGTACTAAAGATATAAAATAAATTAATGTTAGTGAAAAAAATATATGAATGATCAAGTTTTATTTTGAAATAATTGTGCATAAAACATAATTAACATAAGCATATAAAAATTTTTCAAATTTCGTAACTTTTATATCATTTGGTAAACTAGTAACAACTTAAATTTAATCTATAGTAATAATTAAGTATTGAAAAGGAGAACAGCTAAACTACCTGTAATAAACAAAATGTAAACCAGGAGGAATAAGTTTTACTCCCATAAACTTTGGGCCTGTTTTCCATGAATTATGATCAATACCAAACTTTAATAATTAAAATTGTAATCTTAGATTTATTATTGTTATAATGTTTATCTAAATAACAACAATCGAAAATAACTTACGGACCTCTAGACCTTTTGGAGCATTTAAAAATAATAAAAAGGCTCCTTTTTCGAACAATGCCTTTGCTGTCTCTTGATCCATTTATTTTTTTTCTGTAAATCTTTCAACAATAGTTTGTATCACATAAAATGGGAAATTCTTACCACGCCCCCGTGACCGAAAAAAATACAAAATTTATTCACTTAAAAAAATCCCACATCAGGAATATATTTGAAAACGTCAATTTGCAAAAGGTTAAATAATAGCGAGTTAGACGTATTAGTATTCTGGTGTAGAGGAGGAAAAAATCCTACAATGGAAGATCCAGTTTATCACTTACTTTTTATTGCCAGGATGTTTGCCAAGTTACGTTGCACAATATAAAAAATTAATGTAACATTTCAAATTGGTTTTTTCATTATTTCAATGTATGTCGATCACTAAAATTTTATATGAGTGACAAATGTCTTGTAAATAATAATAATAATTAGATCTCAACTTTGAACAAAAATATAAAGTAAATTTTTCTATTAAAAATGGAAAGCAAATTTGCTCATAAACGCGTAATAGAACCAAAATATATGAGGAAAAAAGTTGTATTTGTTGATCCTGATGATCCTTCAGCTTCTTATTGGTGGCCAGCTTTGGTTAGTTTTAGGGCATTTGTGATTTGACATTAACATCCTCTAAAAAAGAAAATTAATTTTAAAAAAAAAAAATGGTTTTTGACATTCTCAAAGGTAGTTCCAAACAAGGAGATAGAAATTTTTAAACAAAAAATGGACTATGATGTGCAATATCCTGGTGAAGGAGAAAATCTAGTTTGTTATTTTGAGGATGGCTCTTATTCTGTTGTGGCTGAAAAAGATCAAAGGCCGTTTGATCCAAACCTTCCTCCATATACTGAGTATAAAGAAGGAATAAATGCTGAAAAATTTTTAAAAGATAAAGCGGTAGAACTGGCAACTCAATACTTTGAAAAAGGATGTATCCCAACAACCTTCAAATGGCTTCGTAATGAGGATGTCTTGGTGTCATCAGCATCAACAGGAATTATTGGTAGTGACAATAATCATGAGTCAGATAATACATATAATACAGATGAAGATAAGCTCATTGTCATAGAAAAAAATCTTTACACACATAAAAAGCATATACGAAAGGAAAGCTTTAGCAATGGTTTGTACTATATATATATATTATATATATAATTTCTCATAAACTATAAATCTTGCAATGGCCAGTTGAGTTTAATGTCCAAAAAATTACTGTTATTCTAATTTAACTAGCATTTACAGAATCAAACAATTTGAATAAAAAGGAGGCAAATGTTCCTTCTAAAAAAGATAACGTTGGATCAATTATTAAAAAAGAAAATATTCCAGGTTCACATAAAAGAGTAAGCTTTTATATCTATGTTTTAGATAATTATTTCAATCAAATAATAAATAAATAAATACCAATATCAATCATTAATAAATATTATTAGAGTATTGGACCATCAAGTACATCAAATTCACGTAATTCAAAATCGACAAAAATTAAAACCTCATCAAATGTTAGTAAACAACAAACAACAAATACCTCATCATTGGCAAATAAACATCTCTTCACATCTATTCAAAACTCAAATACAAATTTATCCATTCAAAATAAATCAACAAAAGATAATCAAACCCAAAATGATAAATTGTCACATATATCATCAACAGCGATGTCTTCTACTTCTGCTGCTGCTGCTGCTACACCTATTACCACCACAGAACGTGCTCCAACTACAAGAGCAAAAACTTGTTCACATTGTGGTGAAAAAACCAGTTTACGAGATAATAGTAATGGTGAACCAAAGCTTTTTTGTGGAGAATGTGGTCAATTGATGAATTCAATTATTGCAAATGGAATACCAATTATTGAAAACGAATATTATTGGAATAATTTTATTGAGAAAAAAAGAAAATATCCAGCAAGGCTATGGGGAAGCAAATCTAATAAAGTGGAAATGAATGTTTTGAATGGTATTTTGCCCATTAATAAAAGACAAAAATGGCTATATCGCGCCGAAGGTTAATTAAATTATTAGTTATTAAGGGGAAAAGGAATAATACTAGCGTTAAAGTTCAATTTACCATGATATTATTATGTAATTGCTTATTGTAAAAATATAATAATAAAATCTAGATTTAAAAATCGAGCTTATATTTTTGTTACACGAAAATCGCCATTTGATAATCTAAAAAAATCTTCGCTGACAAAATTAACAAATACAAAGTATTAGAACAAGTAAATCGTTATAATTTTTAATTAAATGGATGACAATAAGTTTCAAAAAAGTGATAAATTACAAGAAATGACTCGTGAAGTTAAAATAGTATACGGTTCAGAATGTTGTAAAGATATTATTTTGGATTTGGAAATAACAAATAATGTTGAAAGAACAATTCATCAAACTCTTGGTGGAACTGTAAAGTAACAAAATTTTTTTTTTGAAAGATAATTTTATTAAATAAAATTTTAAATTTCATATATACATAAATTAAGTTCTTTGAAAGTGCGCGAAAAGTTGATAATAATGATAAGAATAAACAAAAAGTAAGTAGATAGATATAAATATAAATTAATATGCACGCATGCATCTCAAAAAAAGTTTTTTGAATCAAACATATTTCTAATTTAGCAAAAAAGAAAAATCATAGAAATAGATGGTGGTAGTGATGATGATGATGATGATGATGATGATGATGACGACGACGACGACGACTCTATTATTAAAAAAAATCAGAAAGAAGGCTCGAAAAAATCATTTAAAAGAACTATTTCGATTGAAAGGGTAAAAATTAATTTAAAAAACCCTTGATATATATATTTTGTTATTAAATATAATAATATGATTTTAACACAACCATTGATTACAGCTAGCTAAAGTGGAAGAAAAACTAGAACGTCAACGTAAAAAAGTAAATTTTTTGAATAGATTTTGTTCAAACAATATTTTCTTAATTTTTTAATTAAAAAAAAATTTTTTTTTATGATAGTTGGAAAAAAAAGCAGAAAAACAAAGAGTCAAGCAAATTCAACAAATTAACAAAAAAAAATTTGAAAAATTTGATATGACACGAGAATTGATTGCCGATATTGAAGCTTCTTTAATGGAAGGAACTTTTGGTTCTTTGATACAATCTAATTTAGAATCAAAATTTATAACAATTAATACAATTCAACACAATATTTCAAAGATCATTAAATGGAGAAGAAAAGTCAGCGCAGAATGGGATGATGAACTTGATGCTTTCATGCCAGTACCTGAAAAAATTCATGATGATGTTTATTTAATGGTTTATCTTCCAATTTCAGAACTGGGCAAGATCATTGGGCAAAATTCCATGAAAGATTATCTACAAAATTTGAAAAATGCATTTACTAATAAAAAGTTGATTATTTTAATAGAAGGTTTTGAAGAATATTGCAGAAAGAAAAGATTACATCATAATCGTAATTTTACTAATGCAGTTCGTGCAAAAATTAATGAAAATCAAGAAGAAGATCAAGAAACAAACGAAACTCAAAAGCACAAGAAAAAACAGCCAGCCAATAATAATAATTTGGGACCTGATCCTGAAAAAATTGAAGAAGAATTGATCTGGCTTCAAATTATTGGGAAATGTTCCATTGTTCACACAAAAGATATAAGTGATACAGTTGAAACTATAGGTTTATTCTCAGTAGACATCTCAACAATTCCTTACAAGTAAGTAGACTTTTTTGAACTTTTTTTCCCGTTATAATATTATAAATAACCACATATATATGAATGTTAGGAATCGAAATGGAAATTTGAACTTTTTGATTGAAGGTCAAATTCGAACTGGAGTTGATGCTGGTGATACATGGTTACGTATGTTGCAGGAAATACAATTTGTTGCCCCTTCTGTAGCAAAAGGAATTGTTAATAAGTATCCAACAATCAAGTCATTGTATTATGCATATAAACGATGTAAAGATAAAGAAGAAGCCGAAAAATTGTTAACAAGTATAGAGGTATTACTATTATTATAATCAACAATATTTAATTAAACAAATAAATGTTAAAAAATATTCTCTATTAAAGATTTCAGGTATTTGGTTGGGACAAAGAGGTAGATACATTAATAAATCAATTTCAAAAAGGGTCTATGAAATATTAATGGGAAGAAATCCTAATATGGTGATCTCCTAATTTTTTCATTATCACTATTCATTATTTACTATTAATTTAATGAGAAAAAAAAGAAATTATATTGAAAAAAAAAACTAATTAAAATTATATACGTGAAATAACAATTTATCTGCAATTTTTCCTCAATACTATTTTATGATAAAATTTAAAACTATTTAAAACCTCTAAACCCACCACCATCACCAAAACCGCCATCCAAATTTCTACCACCTGGTGGACCAAATTCTTTTCTGTTACTTTCAGGATGGTGACTATCGCTGATAGTAATAATCTTCTGTTTGGTTTGTGTCATTGTAAATGGGTTTTGTAGTTTGAGGTATGGAGTGTTCTTGTCTTAGTGGTAACAATTCACCAGGATTTTGTCCTGCAACAGGATGAAGTTCATGACTATGCTGTTGATGATGTCCACCAATAAGATTATATCATCTGGTACGATCGGATCAAATTTGGCTCCTTTGATATTGCACCAGATGGTAACCTTAATAAATTATCACTTTTACCATTTCTATCGTTTTCTGCTTTATTTTTAAATCCCGGATGATGTGGATGGTCCCATTATCATTCAACCCACCATTCAACCCATTTCTGCTTCTTCGTGTCTTGCAGGATCCGCAATATATTCAAGTGGGACTTCGTTTAATAACTTTATTGAAATTAGATGACGTTTGATCTGTCTTGTCTTATCTTTTTCTCGATTGAAAAATTCATAATTCAAAATTTTTCTCGCGCAATAAAAAAAAAAGTAAATAAATAATAAAACGACTGAATTTATAATAAAACAATCATGTAATGCACATTTATTACTACACAAGTCCGACTAATTATAGCTATGTAAAATGTCCATCCACCCGGAATCGTTGTTTATAATAATCCTTTTTCTTTTTTTAACTATTTCATCAAGATCTTTAACACCAGTTTTTAATAGTCTGACTTTATGAAGTTTTGAACATTGTACCACCATAAAATCAAAATGTTTATCACAATAACCAGAAATATCAGTCAAATCCAATACCTCCAAATTTCGAAATCCAACATAATTTATTTTAGTAATGGAGTCGTCATCATTTTTTTGATCAATTTCAACAACTTTTATCCATTCGTCAAAATCCGATATTTCAATGCCGTGTAATACAATCTCTTTTAATTTTGGACAATAAGATGGTGTCAATCTATTGATTGGATCTAAATCCATACCACGCCATCTTCTCAATTCCAAATATTCCAAATAATGAAGATTTGATAACAATACATCAATTCCTTCTGCACTTATAGCATAAGCATTAAATATCCTTAAAGAAACCAAAAAAGGATGGTTAACAGATAATGACCATAATGATGAATTGCTAATTGTTATATAATGTTCTATTTGAACATGACTTTCTTGACTTCTTGGATAAATATCAAGTTTAGGTGAAAGATCAAGGTAACGTAGTGAAGTTCTGTTTTGTTTTACCGATATGCCATTATTGTTATTACGATTATTCTCTAACATGACATTAAATGTTTCTACTGGTCCGTCACAAAATACCCACGAAAGCCCTTCTATAATCACTCGGTCAACTTCACCAATCATTGTTTGATTCATTCTAAAATTTTGCAAATTCGATAAATTCTTTAACATGTCAGATATTGATCTTGAATTTAAATTTTTTTTATTAAGTCCACTTATATGCAATAACCGTAAATTTTTCAAAAGTCTTATTATCATTAAAGTCATCGGTGTCAACTCTATATCTAACAATTTTAAAGATTCAAGTTTATTAGTTTTTGTCAAAATGTCTTGTAAAGAGGCATCATTTAAATCTGTGCCACATAAATCTAAATAAAGTAATTGTGAACAAGATGCAATTGCAGTAGCAGTTTCATGACGAAGTTTTTGATTTCCAAGTGATAGATGACTTAAGGTTTTATAAGATTTTTGTATAATTAATTGAATTGATTTATCACCGATGATCCATGATTGTGTTTTTGATGATAGTGAATGCGAAACTCGCCATTTTTGATATAATCCTGGTCTACCAGCTTTTGTGAAGGTAGGACTTTTATGATAATACTTTAATTTTAACCATTTATCATTGTATTCATTATCATTATAACCATCACCATCTGAAATCCATGTATCATAACGTGGTTCATTATTTAAATGGATCCCTTGAAAATCCGAATACATTGCTGCTAATTTCTCAAGTGCATAAGAATTAATTAATTGACACCCACTTAAATCTAAACGTTGACCTTTTATATTTGACTTCCATCTTGTTCTTAATATATTAAACAAATGTTGGTTTGTGAGATTCTCACTAAATGGTGATAAATCGAGAAATCTCCAAAATTCTAAGTTATCGTAAATTATCCTTTGAAAACATTTACAAACTTTACTTACACTACATTTATCCAATAGTGATAATTTTCGACATATTGCAATAATAATTTCTGGTGGTAGCGTATCAAGTTTTAAAATATTTTCTTCAATCATTGAAATTTTTTTTTGTGATACAGTAATCTTTTGATTAACAATTATTTTAACAAAAAAAGTTATCTAATAATTAGTAAATATGCCTCCAAAATCAGAAAAAAAACCAGCAACCAGTGGTAGTAAAACACCAGCTTCAAAAGCTCCAATAACAGCCGCAGCTTCAGGAGAAAAGAAAAAAACAGCTGCAACAGCAACAACTGATAATAAAGTCAAAAGAAAAAAGGCTCGAAAAGAAACATATTCTAGTTATATCTATAAAGTGTTAAAACAAGTCCATCCCGAGACTGGCATCTCAAACAAAGCAATGTCTATTATGAACTCATTTGTGAATGATATTTTTGAACGTATTGCAGCAGAAGCTTCAAAACTTGCTACTTACAATAAAAGATCCACAATTTCTTCACGAGAGATTCAAACTGCAGTCAGGCTTATCCTTCCGGGAGAATTAGCAAAACATGCTGTTTCTGAAGGAACTAAGGCTGTAACAAAGTATACAAGTGCTAAATAACCTTTAAAAAAAATTTCTTGTGGTACTCATATGGTTTTCATTTTATTGATATTATGCAAATATATACATACAATTTATTAACAGATGATCTTAATTTTTTTGTTTAGGAGCTGTTTGTATGCTGATTGCTTTAAAAAGTATAATTGCTTGATTAATTAAAAAGAAAAAACCAAATTATTTTTAATAGCAATAATTTGGAATATATATAAATTTTACTTTTCACAAACCAAGTGATAATAAAAATTCTCAATCATATAATAAAATTCAATTTGTAATTTGCAGATAATTTTTCTCCAGCCCTACAAAATAAAAAAATTTATATCTCATCCATTCATAGAATTCATATTATAAACTTCCAGAATGATCGATTAAAAAAATTAGAGCAATACACAATGCGATTAATTCCACGAGCAGAAGAGATTCTTTTTGGTAAACTATTTTTCTTGAAGTTTGATGATTATTAATAATAGTTAAAGTAATATGATGATAATGTTAAACATTTCATTCTTCAATCAAAGCATCATCTTCCAAACTTTAGATTTTGTTTTAATTACCTTGTAACTTGTAATGGTTTACAACGAAATTTACAACAAAATTTACAACAAATGTCTTCAATTAATGTGGCAGGTTAGTGCATGAAACAATTACCATATTAATAATCGATCAAAAAATCAATTTTTGTATTAGGATAAAAATATAACATGGAATATATTTACATATAGAAGCATTTATGATTATTTATATACACATTAAAAAATGATAATGATGATGATAGTGGATGAGATGAAAGAAATAAAAAGAATGATAAAAAATAAGCATGAAAATTATATATTTTTTAATAATGTTATCCTTTAATGATAACTTAAACCCTTGTCTAAATATATATATTTATCTAAAAGTTGGATTAATCATAAAAGTAGATATATACGTATTAAAGAAGTATCAAATAATGTTCAAAAACACTAATTTTTTTTTGTTCAATAAGAATTAGTAGTAGCGACCAATGATTTTCTAAAAATTTATTGACGATTCTTAAACCATTAATTTAATAGATCCAATATCCCGGCCCCAAAAGTGTTAATAGCAGCAGCAGCCACACCGGCACCAACCGCAGCACCGATTCCAGTCCAGAGAGCACATCTTTTTGCACTAGATTTGATTTCGATATCATCCCGTTTCCTTTTCAGAGTCTTTATTTCAGCCGTTTCATCTCGGATGTCCTTAGAGGAAGAGGCGTCAACATCATTGTCAGTTGGTACTGAACAATGATGGACGCGATTAGTAGATTGAAGTTGTGTTTTTTCCTTCTTGATATCGACTGATGGTGAGATTCCATCATCATCATCGTCACGATCAACTAAACTATTCTTGTTATGGCTATGGTTTGATTCACTTGTGGTGGTGGAGGTTTGAACAACAGCCTTTCCTTTAGGTTCTCTGTAAGAAGGTTCATCGTTATAAAATATGTTTTCTGCATTTGAACCATTGATTGACTCAGTCCCATCACTAGATGCAGCATCAAATGTGCTTTTTTTCTTGGGATCATTACGATTATTATATATATTGTAAAATAATTAATATATTGGCATTGTATTAAATATGTGTAGTAGATGCATGTGTATAAATATACATATTTTTCAAGTTACCTTTATTCTTGGACTTTCATACCACATATCATCATATTCAAACAACACAGAAACAAGATCATAAATTCCATATCTCACAGCAACATCGCGTGCTAATTTATTTTATAAGTAAAAAATATCCATAAATACATAATACTTATTTATATATTATATAGTTTATTTACCTGTATCAAGTGATACCCTAATAATTTTATAAATGATGAATGGATAGAGAAATTGATCAATAATAAAATTTCATAATATTTCTCAAGCATTTGTTTCTTGATCAATATGAACTTACCAAATACCATAGAACCAACCCTCTTCAACAATATTATATTTAGAAAATTCTTTTTTCAGCTTCTCAAGTTCACGTTTCCACTCATCTACATCATTATCAGTAGGATATCTGACACGTAACAAGTAGTGGAGATTAATTTCGTCAGTATCTAGACGACGCCAAACATCGTACTCATCCTCTTCAAATCTTATGGTAGTTTCAATGATCGGGATATTTTCAATATAATGTTTTTTGAAGACATTTGAATGAGAATAGGTGAAAGGAGTAGGCGTGGATTTACGAATTTTCCTTGGAGAAGTACGCGTTGGAGTTTGACGACTTCTGGTACGAGGAGTTGTTGTTGGACTTGTTGTAGTTACACTTTGTTCTGAATCAGACGATTTAAATTCTTCAGCGATAAGATTATTATTATCATCGTTAGTGATAGCATTATTATTGTTTTTTTTGAGGCTTTTTCTTTTGACGGTAACCATTTTGCTAAAGTTTAAAATTTTTTGTTGTTTTTATGGTGGGTGCACCAACTCTTAACTCTAATAGTCACGTGATAACATCAAACTTCCTTGATACAGTGTAAATAAGTTATCCAATAAAATTCAAGAATTTAATTTTAAAGTTTTTAATATTAAATTTTGTGACATTTCGAAATTTAATACAGTGACCCCTCTATAAGTGCATCCCCCTCGGGAACATAGTGCTATTTCTTGTGAGCGTGCATTTATGGAGGGTGTGCATTTATGGAGGGTGATTTTATAAGCTCTCTATAAGCTTGGGGATGAGACGGGCCGTGCATTTATGGAGGGCGTGCATTTAGGGAGGGTGCACTTAGGGAGGGTTTACTGTAATTAATATTAACAAATGTTTAAAAAATTTTTTACAAATGCGCATAAATCTACTCTCTTTATAATGAACTTCAATTTTGTCCCCGATTCATTAAATATTCTCTCTATAAAGAACAAATTACACGTAGGTCGTCATAGAGGGTGAACTGTACACGTAAATCTATTTTTTACAATCAATGTTTGTGGTGCTATCTCTGTTAATCAACGACTTGGATTCTCGAATTTCTTTGTAAATGATCCTGAAAATATAGATTCTATGATTTTTTTTTAATTTTATGCATTCTTTTTTTACATTTTGTATTTTACAAACACTTTTATTAATTTTTTAAAGATTGAATATTGACACTCAAAATCAATATACAAATATATCAAGAACTTGACAATTGGGATCAGGTTGGACATTTCATTTAACTATATAGTAAAGACAAGGCTTTGGAGCTTAGAGTGGAACTTGATCCTAATGATAAAACAATAATCAGAAGAGGAAAAATTTGCTTACAGATGTAGCCGCACTTATGAGCCAAGAAATATATTGTTGCCAATAATATTCGTAATACAACCTCAACTAAATCGAAGATTATTTTAGAAAAGAGAAAGTGGCTCTCATACATGATGGCGAAATTCATTTAATAAAATTCGAAAATTTTCGAAAAAATTACTCAAGTTGTCGAAACCGAAAGGTCTCTAGCAAAATCCAAAATCAAAATTCAAATCAAAATTCAAATCAAAAATTGTAATTTAATTCAAAGTCAAAATTTACATGAAATCAAATAACAAATCAAATGACTTTATTATTAAATCATATTAATTATATGTCTTCCAATCCTACTAAAGATTCTTCAACAAATATCTTCAGCTACATAATTCATTGTTTCAATTCTTTGATAGTATTTTCACTTTATCAAAAATTGGATCATTTAAATTCACAATATCTTCAATTCCTAATATACATATGTATATATTATTTCACCTAAATTCATCATTGATAAAATGCCTATTACTATTTTGCCATCATGTATGCAGTTTTCTTATTGCTACATGAAAATTTCTAGCATTTAATTCAAACGACCTTTTGTCCATTTTGACTTGCCATACATAGTTACTGGTGGATTTTCCAAGAAACGTCTCCATTTATTCCGAGTTGAAAGGTTCCAGTCAGGTGATTTTATTGTCGGATTAAGAGTTGGTGCAATTAATTTGTTAGAAAATTATGAGACTTTACCTGGACAAGTAAGTGGTGACGTCCAACAATTTTTAAAAAAAATTTATTGTTTTTGATTAACTTTTTTTTTAATCTGATAATAAATAATTCTGTTATCTCGCATTTTTGTTGATGTTTCACTGAATAGATAGTTAACATGGCATGTTTGTTTGTTTTTATGATTGACGATAAGATTATCATTAGTCAAATTTTTCATATAAAAATGTGCTTAAATCAAAAAAAAAAATTTTTTTTATTCCATAACATACATAATATAATAAAATAAAAATTTTAAAATTTTAATTGAAAAAAAATGACAACAAATAATTTATTGACAACATTTTCTAATAAAATTGGTCAACTAATTCAAGACGTTGATAATGATGACGATAATGAATATAATACCATTATCAGAGTAGGTGATGGACAAGACACAAAACTTTTTAAAGCTCATTCTCTCATTTTGAAAGCTGTCTCCCCTCATTTTCGTAATTTATTTAAAAGTGAAAATAATTTTATGAGAGATGGCAATTGGAATTATGTGGAGAAACCTTATACTTCACCTTTAACATTTGAGATTATATTAAAGTAAGCTTGTAAAACATATTTCTTTTTATTTATTTTAATATTTTAAAAAAGATAATAATTAAGGAATTACTTATTGATATGAATATCAACATCATTATCACTTTTTCAAAACAAATAGATACATGTACACTGGTTCAATATCTATCAGAAATCTAGATAGCATAAAGATTATGGAGATTATTGAGACAGCAAAAGAATTTCTACTTTATGAATTAGTTGAATATTTATATTTAAATAGTAATTATAACGCTATTATTAAAAATACGGAAGAATTGAATTCGAATGAAAAAATTCATACAATTGATAATAATAATAATATAATAAGATCAATATCAGGGCCAAGATCGAATAAAAAATGTGGTAGAATTCAACTTGTTGGTGCGGGTCCTGGTAATCCTAATTTATTAACACAGGCAGCCTGTAATGCTATTCAAGAAGCTGATTTGGTGTTAGCTGACAAATTAATTCCAGAGGAGGTTTTAAAATTGGTTCCTTCAGACACTGAATTAATAGTCGCAACTAGGAAATTTTGTGCAAATGCTGATGCAATTCAAGAAGAAATAAATCAAACAATTTTACAAGCTTTAAATAATGGAAGACATGTTGTTAGATTAAAACAGGGTGGTAAGTATTATTACTATAATATAATATACTATAATATTATTATTTTATTTATTTATTTATTATTCTTTCTGCTCTAATTTTTTTATTATAGATCCATTTTTGTTTGGTCGTGGTGGCGAGGAATTTTTATTCTTTAAATCTCACGGTTACATTCCTAATGTTATCCCTGGTATTTCTTCTTGTTTGTCCGCTCCATTATATGCCAACATCCCTGTCACTCATAGAGGAGTTGCATCTCAATTGTTGATATGTACAGGAACTGGGCGTAAAAATTCTCTTCCTGACATTCCTATATATAATTCATGTAGAACAACTGTTTTCTTAATGGCTATTCATAGAATTAAACAATTAGTTACTGATTTGATTAATGATGGAAAATATCCACCCGAGTGTCCTTGTGCTGTCATTGAGAAGGCAAGTTGTAAAGATCAAAGAGTCATTCATGGAACATTAGCTACCATAGCTGATATTATAAATAGAGCGGGCACTAACCCACCTGGGACTTTGGTTGTAGGATGGACTTGTTTAACTTTATCTAAAGATTAAATATAATTTATTAATATTTATATTATATATTATGTGTAATTTTAATTCATTTTCATTATCATTAATATATATTATCATTAGAAAATGCTATAAACACATTCATACTTCTCCTTTTTCATCACTCATTCATATTATTAATTCACATATTCATTCATTATTTAATTTTTTAATTTTCAATAATAAACTTTTTGAAAATCTTTCCAAAATAATTCGTTGATCAATTCCAAATAAATTTTTTGGTGGGTTACAAATATTTTTCCTGTCATATATACCCACGTGTATATTGATGTGTGTGTGATTCTTTTAAAAAGGAGTGATCTGTACCGATTTTAAATAAGGATCGGCGGGGATAATTACACTAATAAAACAAACACATACTAATATGTATCTCGATAATCCAACCAATTTTTAAAAAATCAAACCAACCCTTATTAAAAGTAGAATTTAATTTCATTAGGTTCAATCATTCCTCATTTACATTATGACAGCAGATTAGAGAAGAAACCCTATACAAAATCAAAAGGTATATATTAAATAAATATTTTTCTTATCTCCCTATGAAAATTTGCATTGTTGAACAATGCACTATCCGATATTAATTGAAATATACAAAACGAACAACGCCATATAATGATGCCTGGGAATGAAGATGAAGCAGTTAAAAAAATGAACAAGACACAGTTTACACTCTATATATAATTGATATAATAATAACGGAAAGCCCAATTTACATGTCTGTATTAATATCAATATATAAATTATTATTGTCTATAACGGACATTTTTTCCTAAACCAAATGGTCCATTATAGAGAAAAAAATTAATATAATAAATATTTTCTAGACGTTAAATTAAAAATTTTTAATTTTAAAATGATTTACTTTGAACTGGGTTGGGCTCTTTGTGAAAAACAAAAAGTAATGATGAATTAAAGTAGGATAACACATTTGAGATACTGTAAGTATTGTGAGAATCAGAGGTCTGAAAGCAAAATTGCATTTCACTGAATTTATTCTTTGTGATCATACTTCAGGGCACTAGCATCAATTATTGTACTTAGTTCTCCATGTTTATATCCAAATTTTACAACCTAGAATGGCACAAAATTATTCAAACAAACCCGTATCAGCTTCAGTCACCCACTGTTCCATCATCAATCTCAGGTGCTCTGCTGAAAACATCAAGGAAGCACGTTGTTAGTGAGGATAGTTATATGCATCCTGAAAGTTCAGAGCTGCTGCTCGCACCTTTAATGATCTGTAAGTTAAATTGTGCTTTATATTTTGTGAAGATCATGAAGATAATTCTTGCTTAATTCTTTTTATTATTCTATAGAGAAGAACTGCCTGCTCTTGTTCCAAAGAAATTGTCCGAGGGCATGCACATTTGCAAGCTCTTACATCCCATACGTGAAACCTCCGTTTTTTGACCTCTCAAGGCTAGTGATGCGATCCGCGGGTATCCGTCATCCATCCATCCGTCATTTACCTCTAAAAATTAATCCATCATCCAGTAATTTCTCAAAAAATACATCTGTTGGATTGAACGGGTCGAACGGATTGAACGGATTGACAAGAGATTTAATTATTGAAAAAAAGGGCCGAAACATTTTGTCCGAGTTAAGCCAAATCCGACTTATCGAGTTTACCTATGTATAATAATTATAATTATAATTATAATAATAATTTCTAAAATTTTGATCCGCAATCCATCAACCTTTTTAAAAAGCTATCCGCCAATCCGAATGCGAACGGATTTTTTTACGGATATCCTGATTGATCATCCACGGATCGCATCTCTACTCAGGGCATATTAAACCACGTTGTAAATCGAACTAAACAAAGACCAGATATTTCATATGTAGCGAGCAGCACCTCCATTTTGAATTCTGAGATTAAACCTTTTGGATACACGCTACTGCAAAGAAAGAAAGAAAGACAGTAGCAAAGTGAAACTTAGGGCAAAGAAGTCTGTCAATGAACAACTAAATGTGAAAGCTGGGCCAGGCGAATCTGCCCTTTTGCTAAATATGTGTATATATGAACTACCAACACTTTTTATATATATTAGCTAATTTGTATATATGCATGCCATCAGGCAATGTTATATAAACCTTTTTTATTGACTTGAGATTTAGCGGATTATACCGATCATGGCATTTTCACGCTACCAAATTGGCCATTGATAAACCGTTAATGCCATTGATCAAGTCTACATTCTGTCACTTTGTGGCATTGGAGGTCTGCATTTTTCTCACTTTTGATATTATAAGATTTTCTATGTCCATTACTTTTTGAGAATCGTGACAAAAAACTTTTGGTATTTACAGGAGAAAGTAAATGGATTGGCAGAAGATTTCAAAAGTCACAAAGGATTGCTTACACCGCTGCCACAAATTTTATCATTTATGAATGAATTTCCAAATTCTTCACAAATTAAGCGGTTTGGGAAAACACAATGCTAATTTTTTTTAATTTACAGATCGCAAGTCTTATTAGTGGTTATATAATGGCTGGATTGTATTATTTGTTAAATAAGATATTGATTAAAAAAAAAATGAATAATAAATTCAAGTTCGCAATTCAAAAATTCTAAAGTTTGCCCACAATCCGAACTTTGAATTTATGTTGCATAAATAGGGAATGTTATCAGATTAGCCACATGTATACATCGAAAAATAACAATTTTTTTGCTATTTGCGATTTACAATTTTTTAATTAAAAAAAAAATAGGTAAATTAATAAGGGCCTTTAAAAATTTTGTAATTTTATAAGCAATGTACACGAATTTTAATATGCACCGTTTTATTGCGAGAGGTTTTAAACGTCCATCTACACATATCCATTCGAGATCATTTTGCAGAAGGATCAAGCAAGTTGTCCAAAATGTTCATTATAAAATGTATAGGACACGAAAGATTTAAATGCCAACTACAGTTTGTTCTTTGTGATTTAGATATGGGTTAATTCCACTTCTTTAAGTTATCACTTTCAAATTTTTCTGATCACCCTTTCTAAGCTTAAATCCTTCCAAGTTGGGAAATGTATACTAGAATCCAATTTTATGTCAGATTCGACATTTAACTTCTCATTCTCATCTCCAATCTCATTCATTATTGATATTAGGGTGTTGGTCATAATTTATGATCAACAGGGGGGTTTTTTTTGTGGTATTAAGACGCGTAAGATGCATGGCGCATAAAATCTAATTCCCACATGAAAATAATAAAAATAAACTTGAATTGTGATGAATATATATAATATGATTCGAATTATCATTATTAGTGGGAAGAAATGCAAAATAATTGAAACTTACGTTAAATTGAAGGAACTATGGCTTTCATGCAACTTATAGAACGGAATATTGTTTCAAAGGTGTAAATGTTAATGATAATGATAATGGATAATTATTTTATCAAAGTGTTTATTATCGTAATGATAATTATAATATAGGCACAAAGATTCCCGGTTAATAATCTTGGATTGGAGATTTTAATGGAACTATTGATTTTGAAGATTTCTTGAATGGTTTGTTTTTAAAAATAATTTTCCATAAATTATTATTGATCACATTATATTTATCATTTTACTAAACCTAAGCCAATCTACAGATATTATAGATGTACAATGGAATATAAATATAATATGACATTCTAATAAAAAAAAATATATAAATTATTAAATTATTAAGAGAATAATCAATCAATTTATTTATTTTCTATGATAAAATTTTTAAATTTTTCATAAGCTGTATTTAAATCATCATTGACAACAATGAAATCATGAGATCCTTCTAGGTCTGCATATTCCAATTCTTCTTTGGCTGCTTTTAGACGTGCCTCGATGGAAGATTCTGTTTCTGTACCACGTTTTCGAAGACGTGATTCAAGAACTTCTATTGATGGTGGTGCAATAAATAAATATCTTGCATTCAAATCTGTTTTCTTGACAGATTTAACACCCTGAAAATATAAAATGAGAAAGAAAATTAATTAATTATGTTTCTTGGACACATTGTAAATTCATTGGATATATGCTATAGATTGTTATTATATTTACTTGTAATTCTATATCTAGTATACAAATTTTTCCTAGATCTGCCACAGCTTTAACAGCATCCACACTAGTCCCATATAAATTCCCAGAGAATTCTGCATGTTCTATAAATTTATTTTGTTTAATCAATTCAAGAAACTTTTCCCGGGGCACAAAATGATATTCACGACCATTTTGTTCTCCAGGTCGAGGTGAACGTGTAGTATCTATTTAAATATAAATATTTATAACAAAATTAATCATTGATTGGTGTCATGGAAACAGATGAAAAACATTCTTGTTGAAAAATTTACGTGATATACTAAATCCAAATTTATTAGGATATTCTTCAAAAAGACGTTTTAATAATGTAGATTTTCCCGTCCCTTTTTTATTTATCAATTATATGACAAAAATATATTTCAACAATTAATTAATATTATATATGCCATTTATGTAATCTATTTTCTTTGTCCACAATTCCTTTACCTGAAGGACCTGAAACCACTATAGGACGAAGGCTGACTATTATTTAGAAAAAAGAAAATTAATTATTATTATTATTATTATTATTATTATTATTATTATTATTATTATTATTACTGATGAATTGATAAATTGATGAATTAGTGTTTACCAGCTGTTGTTGAAGTTTGGTTTTCTTGGGTCATAGTGTTCAAAAATTGGTTAATAATTCGGTAGTTAAAAAATTTTTTTGAAGTTTGAATTAAGTTTGCACATTTCAAATTTTGTATCATTTTTAGGAATCTTTTGTGATCACATGTATCCATAAAGTTGAAAAAAATATATAATGTTTAATATTAATCTTAAAAAAAAAAAAACGTGGAAAAATTATAAATATAACACAATTAATTAAAACTTACTTTTTTAGAATAGTAAAGAACATTACGAAATTTTGAAAAAGAAAGAAAAAGAACCATACCTGACTTTTTTTACGACAATTTGGCTCAGAAACATTTGCCATTACAAAATTATAAATTCGTTTGGCAGTTGATAGGTTCAATTTCTAACCCATAACCACCTTTTTCAGGGATCAAGGTTTCTCCGTTTTTTTAGTAGTTTTTCTTGGTGGCAAGTTTTTGGTCTTGGTTTTTCCGAATTTCTATATTAATTAAGACGATAATGTTTGGCTTAACAGAAAGAAAAAATTAATTGATTTGTATAAATTGTTTGAAGCAGATTTTCACACCCTAATTTTTCACAAACGGCTGGAGAAAGTTGTAGATTTGGTCTTTCTGCTTTTTATCAAATTGTTTACCAGGACGTTGAATTTGTAACAGTTGTCAAACATCAATCGGGTGTCTGGTTCAAACTCTTCTGCAGATGCGTAATCCTTACTTTCTAATTTATGGGGTTCATGAACATTCAATTTCTCAGCATCAACAGGCATATGCAAATTCGGATTTTGTGAATTTCTCATATTAATATGGCCTGTCACAATTGTCTGTCTTCCCAGACTTACACTATACCTTTAAATAATTCAAATAATAGAAAAAACCCACAAAGCGATAAAATTTATATATAGGTTATATGTATATGAATAAAAATGAATATAATGGTTTTAATGAATACGAAAAGGCAATAAAGTATGTTGTGCTTGCGGCTGTTCTACTAAAATTCCAAAAGTTTACTGAATTACGTGATAAACTAGGGCAGAATACTTTCTTAGTGGTTCAGCTAACAGCAATGGATGGTGAGTTGATAAGTACGAGCAAACGTCTCAAAAAGAAAACCAGATCCAATAAAAAAAAACTTTCTATTTTTTGGGTCATAATTAAAGTTGGTGACTACAATTAATTTGAAATCCTGCAGCCGGTTACAGATTCTTATATTACATTGATTCCTGAACTTTCTTTGTGATATAGTGTTCACTTGTTGCAGACTGCAATGAGAAGGATGAATATTAATATTAATATATACAATGTAATTTAATAAGACAATGGCACGTTGATTTGGAGTGAGATGGGTGGTAATGGCACAGTAAACCCAACCGTTTTTTTCAATGAATTGTAGAAAAGTATAAGAGGTGCTTCGACCATATCACACCCGTACTATTTTTCTATTATTAATGGGCCAAACTTGAAAATGACGGGGGACGGGCAGATGTCCTTTTTCAGCATCCCAAAAATTGATTTTTCCGAATTCACATGCAACGTTTTGTACAACAAATTACAAATTTAAATACGAAAAAGTTTTTTTTTTAAAATTCCCAAATTCTTTTCACATAATGGAACGTAAAAGGCTTCGCAATACAAATCTTTTGGGCGATGAAGAGGAACAAGCAGCTACCGATGAGCCAGAAATCAAAAAATTCAAGAGGTATTAGAACTTCCATTTTCCCGTAAAAATATTTTCAACCATTGTTATAACTTTTATAATAATAATATACTGACTTGTTTCTTTTTTTAAAAAAATGTTTGTCATCAGTACTAGTACAGTAAGTTTTAATAGGAACATTTATTATAAAGCTTGGTTTCTTTTTTAAATTTTTTCTTTGTTATATATCTAAATATTTCTTTTGGGTAACTTTGTTTATAGAGTGTTCCAAGCTTCCTTCCTGCACCTTCTGAATCTAACCCTACACAAAATGTTACTCCAAACTCCGATCAAATAAGAGCAATGATTGCACAAAAAAAGGCACACTTGGAGGCATTGGTAGCTAATTTTAAACCTTTAAATAAACCAACAACAATTCCTGCTAAAATATCACCAATTCCAACATTTGCTACAACTTCTTCTTTACCCACAAATAAATCAGCAACAACTACAAATGCATCATCATCATCATTTTCATCATCAACTGCAGCATCATTGTTAAATGATCCTGATCTTCAACGTAAAATTCTTGAAGCTAAAGAAAGAGTTAAAATAAATATGGCAAGAGCCAATCCTTATTTGGTATGTTTTTAATAATTAAATTTATTTTGTTGGGTATTATTAAAGTCAGTTGGATGATTTTTTTTTTAATGATAATCAATTAATATTATCATTCATTCATTACCTCTTTACAGCCTTCAACTACTGTAACAGGGAAATCAGATGATTCAGCAAAAGCTAAAGGTGGTCTTAAAGTCGAAGCACATCCAGCTCTTCTTTTAGATCAAAGTGGAAAATTGGATTTAAAACAAGCATCAACATTAATTCCAAAACCAAACTTTGCTACTGTCAAGGTATGTTGAAAAAGTTTTATAGATTTATATATTTAGTTGTGTGTTTGTTTCTTTTAATGCATATACACCACAAAAAAATTTTTTGTTATGTTTTTTATCATAGAACAAAATTTGACATTTTGTTTTCACCTTAACAATAACAACAAAATACAATAATAGGCAAATCAACGTTTAGTTCCTGCAACAGTAAAACAAGAACCAAAAACTTTAAAAAACTCGGAAGACATTAATGACATTACTCAAAATCCTTATTATGACCCAAGAGCTGGTAACATTGCACCACAAAGGCTTAACCGTAAAAGATTTAAATTTATACCAAAGGGTAAATATGAAACTTTGGGAAATCAATTAAGGACACAGGTATATTTACTTAGTTATTCATTGCTTTACATTTAAATATATGTCTATTTTTGGAATTGAATATTTATTATATAATTATTTTATTTTTTAGGCTAAATTAGAAAAATTGAAAGAAGAGATTGCTGAAAGTGTAAAGAAAGCTGGCATGGAGGCAGAATTAGATTCTTCCGATAAGGCAATCAAGGTATCTACCATTAGTAAAAGTTATCAAATGCTACTACTACTACTAATAAAATTTATAGTAAAATAGAAATGATTGATTGTTAAAAATAATATTAATCATGCATATAACACATTTTATTTTTATTTTTTTGTTTATATAGAGGGATCCTCCACCTGCACTAGAATGGTGGGATGTACCTTTATTACCAAATAAAACATATGACGATCTTGATGTTGGCTTGACCAAGATTGAAAGTGAAGATACACTTGTAACACTATATGTTCAACATCCAATTCCTATTAAACCACCAGGTGATAATAGTTTACCTCCGCCCAAACCATTAATTTTAACTAAGAGAGTATGTTAATAAAAATCCTTCGTTGTTTGACGAGTAAATCTTAATAATGATGATGATAATAATGATAATATTTTTTTATTTTTTTTTAATAGGAACAAAAGAAATTACGTAAACAGAAGAGACTAGAATTACAAAAAGAAAAACAAGATAAAATACGTTTAGGTTTATTGCCTCCGGATCAAGCTAAAGGTATTTAGTTTACTTTAATTTTTTTTTCAGCGTTAATTTTTTTCCCAGTAAACTAAAAAATGTTATTTTTTTTTTTTAAAATTAAAGTTAAATTAAGTAACTTAATGAGAGTTCTTACAAACGACGCCATACAAGATCCAACTAAAGTAGAGGCCCAAGTTCGTAAAGAAATGCAAAAAAGACAGGAAACTCATTTAAAGGCTAATGAAGAACGAAAATTGACTGATGAGCAGAAAAAAGAAAAAAAAGTAAAGAAATTAGAAGAGGATGCCAAGAAAGCTATTATAGTCTGCGTTTACAAGTAAGCAAGCAAACAAATTATATATATTTTACAAGTTTGTTAATCTGATTAATAACTTTTTATTACCGTTATTGTTTTTGTAGAGTTAATGACCTTTCACATCCTAAAATGAAATTCAAAGTTGACATGAATGCACAACAACTTGGGCTTACCGGTACAGTAATCATCAACCCGAATTTTAGTGTTATCATCGTGGAAGGTGGACCAAAATCAATAAAATATTATAAAAAATTAATGTTACGACGAATTGATTGGCAAGATACAACTAGATTGGGAGAAGGAAGTAATAGTGGTGTTGGTGGTATTGGTGATCTTCAAGAATCTGATGAACTGATGATAACCAAAGAACCAAAAGAGAACAAGTGTTCATTAATATGGGAAGGTGAAGTTAAAGAACGCGGGTTTAAAGGATTTTGGTTCAAGACTTCTCCAACAGATAATATGGCTAGAGAATACTTGAAAAAACATAAAGCTGAACATTATTGGGATTTGGCAAGCAAATTTACTGATGAATTGGGTGAATTGACTACTTTAGTATAAAATTATAGTAATTCGATTAATATAATTCGAAATTATGTGGTAATAATGATTTTTTTGGTGTATATCTGTAACAATTATTGTAATCAATATTATTAGTGGAAAAAAAAAGTTTATAACTTAATTTTCATCAATTTTTAAATAAAATTCGAAATTCGATAATGATTTATAAGATTTTCCTGTATATTTATACAAAGAATCCTTTTGCCATAAATGTGCATAAATTTTCTGTAGCAAGTAGGCATTGCGCAAATTCAAATTAATATCATCATCATCATCATCATCATCATCATTATGATTACCAAGTCTATTAATATTAAAAATCTTCATAATCGCTACCATCATGTTCTTTAGTTTTTGCTGGAAATCATTTTTTGATTTGATCAATATATATATATATATATCTTGTAAAAATAGAAAGTGGATTCATAAGTTTTGTGTACAACCAATCAACCTCTGATAACAAGTTATGACTACTATTACTATTATCACAACTACTATTTGCATTAACATTATTAATATTACTACTCTTACTGCTATTTATAACTATTATCACTACTGCTAATGTTGTCGTTAATAACTGTAACTACTAATATTTAGTATTCAAAAATCACAATATACTTTTTTTAAAAAAATGTACCTATACATTTGTTTATATAATATTTGTTTTAGTTGTTGAATAGTTGTATACAATTTTTAAATTAGTATTATTTGAATTTTTTTAATTTATATTTATTTAATTATATTCGTCACATTTTAATTAAAAATATTCAATTTAAACAAGATACCCAATCGTTTTTGTCTCGTGAAAAATTTTTCTTAATTTTTAAAAACCTTTTTTTTTGAAACACGCTGTATATCCATTACAATGTTCATGATGATTATGCCCTATAGAAAATAAACATACGGAATGTATAAGAGTTTCCTTATTATTATTATTATTATAATTTTCCTAATTCCGTACATTTTCCGTATTAGTATACATCCATAAATTGCATTACATTGGTAAATTTCA